TCACATTTCATTGATTTACTCGGAAACTATAATAGACAGAATGAATCCAATATATGCATATGAAAGCTGAATGTTTGAGGAACCCAGCAAGTATAGATACATTCCTGTGCTCTTATCCATATTGCTGTAATACGCGTTCCTTTTATGAAATGGAGGGTGGTGGGGAGGCGCCAAATGATTACCTACTTTTGTTTGGAAACCACTGTTCTATGCAAATTAAATACAATCATTAACGATTTGCATACAAATTTCAGTATTGCTTTCCTAAAATTCAACGTTTTCTATTTTCTGTTTCAGGCTTGGCGAATGGTCAACAGTTGAAGGGAAACCAGGAAGATCCCTGCAAAACGAAATCCCGTGTTGTTGCTGATGAGACTTACTGCGACAGGTATTGGGAGTGCGTCAACGGACAACCAGAACTGTACGACTGTCCGAACGGTTTGGTTTTCGCCGGCAAAAACAGAGGCGTCACCGAGGGCTGCGATTATCCATGGAGGTCGAACTATTGCGATAGCAAACAGCAAGCCAGTGAGTGCAAAATCTTCACTCTAATTGCAGCATAACTTTTGTAATCTTTTATTTTCGTTCAGACACACCACTTGGAACCGAACATTGCGATTGGTTGTACGGTATCTTCGGACACGAAACATCTTGCACCAGGTACTGGACCTGCTGGAACGGAACCGCCACCGAGCAACTCTGCATCGGAGGACTCTTATACAATGAGCGTTCCCATTCCTGCGATTGGCCCGAAAACGTTGACGGTTGTCAAAAGCATCGTAAGTACTTTTTCTTGTCGATTAAACAGACACATACTATAAAACCATTTGTCTTCAGCTCTCTGCAACGAGGACGCCAACGGTAACGTTCCATTAGGCAAATCCTGCAACAGATACTGGCAATGCCAAGGCGGATACCCGCGTCTTCAGAGGTGTCCTGCTATGTTGGTCTTCGACCGTCGTTCCCTGCGTTGTGTCGTCCCACCGACAGAAGACTGCGATATTCCTTCCACCCCAGCACCTAATCAGATCGACAACGATAACGGCGAAGAGAACATCCCGCAGAACAACCCACATCGGGCAGGAAACAATGGCGGAGCATCCGGAAACCCGGCGGACTTCATCAATTTACCTCCGGGCGCCATCCCGATTCCCAGCAAAAACAGGCAGAGGAACTGAATCTGAAGAACTGGAGGAAGAAGCAGACCATCGTACTGCACGAAGAAGAAAAAGAAAAGAAAAAAAAACTCCAGTCTTCACCATTCTTAACTTTGTATATAACCTAAGTTGTTTTTTATTGTTTAATTACTTAACCATTTCTTTCGAGAAGGGAATTTCTTAATGAAATTAAATTATTTTCCTTGCGCCAGTATTCCAAAAAGAAAAAAAATATTAAAAAAAATATATGAAATGCGACTCAAAAGACAAAACGAAGAAGAAAAAAAAATAAAGAAACGAGAAACTCTTTTTATTGCTATTATTGTTGATGCGGAAAAATGTGCAAAAACAGAATCAATGTGTATTTAAGTTAAATAAATTTAAAAAGAAAATCTACTTGTCGACCATATGCAGAGCCCACTGGAACTGCTCCAACTCTTTCCTCAGTTCCGGGTCATCCGTGAAATCGTCCATTCCTTCGTTTGCACGGAGGTACTGTTTCCTGTTCCGGAAAGGTTTCGTCTTGCTGGAGCGTTTGTTACTTCCCCTGGGTCTTCCTCTGCGTTTCAACGTTTGAGCGGTTTGAGACGACTGCGGCCAGGTGTTCGGGTTTTCCTGGAGCAAATTCGAAACGGCATTTCTCGTTTCCACATTACCCAAATCGGGTACTTCGGTTTGCGGAGGAATCGGAAGAAATGGTAGAGTCAATCCGCCCAGTTGCGGATTCACCATCAAACTGTTCTGCAAATACCCAAACTTCCCTAAAACCTAACTCAAAAAAACAAAGAAATTAAATTAAATTTATTTTTATTAATTGATTCATTACTTGTGAGATGTAAAATTGCTTTTCCTGAGGACCCATCATGTCCCACGCCAAAGCCACCGCCGATTTCAGATGGAATTTGGGCGTGTTTGGGTACATCCAATGGTACAAAGTCCTTGTTCTTTTGGAAAACAGAGATTTGGCGGCTTTCAGGACATCCTCTTGATTATCGAGCTGCTGAAAGTAATGCCCACTTTTCACAATCTAAATTAGAGCATGAATATTATGCAGACAATTACTATCTTAAGCAATTACCAAAACGTTCGTTTTTTTCTCCTCATTTACTTGACATTCCGCTTCATTATTGTAATTACCTAAAAATAATTAATGATTAGATCAGTGGTTTCCAAACTTGATGTTAC